TCTCTAGGCTTTGGTGCGCTCGAACGGTCGCTTCGTGTCCTCGCATTGAGGCCCGTCTTAGGGAGTTCGTGGGGCCCTCTTGGGCCGTCTTGGAAGCCTCTTGGCCCGTCCCGGAGACTTCTTGGGCCGTCTCGGCGCCTTCTTGCGGGCCTCTTAGGCCGCGCCCACCAGTCCCACTCTCACCGCACTACCAGATAAAATTATCATTCGGCCCTGGCGAAGAGCAGATACAATTATCACGGCGACCCGCCCCGCAAAAACTATTACGAACACAGAGCGCGGTGTGAGAAACAGCTACATCATGTCGTGCATGGGTGTGCGTCCATTGATGCCGCCTCCACCATCGCGTTCCTGCCTTCAGGCCTGCCTGCCTGCATCCCTTGCCTACCTCGCCCTCCAGCGGCCACATCCTCCATCCATGCCGTCCCCTCCAACCTCCCCCCCCGTGAGGCCCCCGAGACGCTCCACTTCCACGTCCGCGCCGTGGCGGGCATATTCCGCGGCCGGAAGGCCGCGGGTCAGCCCTAGTCTCTACTACATTGCAGGGCCCAGTGCGTGCCAGAAGGGCGCAGGCCCCAATGCACCGAAACCGCCCCGGGCTGGCCCCGGGCCGCCCAGGGCCGCCCAGGCAGGCTCCAGGACATGTCGAGAGGGCCCCCAGAAGCCCCCAAGACGGCCCCGGAGAGCCCCGGCACGCTTAAAGATGGGCCCAAGACGCCCGAGATTCGCCCCAGACGGCCCAAGAGGCGTCCAAGACGCCCGAAGAGGCCTCCCAAGAGGCCTCCCAAGAGGGCCCCGAGCGACAGAAATCGTCGATTTCTATTGTGTTTTTCTATGTTTTCGACCTCCTCGCCTCTTCGGCTTCCCGACGCTCCAAGACGGCCCAAGAAGTCCCCCCGACCGCTCCAAGACGGCCGAAGAGGACCCCAAGAGAGCCCCAAGACGGGCCAGGAGGGCCCCAAGACGGTCCCAAGACGCCCCAGGACGGCCCCAGGACGGCCCAGGAGGCGCCCAAGACGGCCCAAGAGGCACCCAAGACGGCCCCAGGAGCGGCCCAAGACGGCCCAAGACAGCCCAAGAGGCGCCGAGGCGGGCCTCAGACGGCCCCAAGACGGCCCAAGAGGCACCCAAGACGGCCCGAGAGGGCCCTAAGAGCCCCCCCGGGAGGCCCAAAAGAAGGCCGAAGAGGCTCCGAAACGGCCCCCACGAAGCCTTCAGTGGCTTCAGAATTCCCTCCAGGAGCGGGGGAGCGGACGAGAGGCGACAGGCATATCGCAGGCAAAAACGCCCCAAGAGATCCCCAAACGGCCCCCACGAAGCCCTAAGTGGCTTCAGAATTGCTTCCAGGAGGGGGGGAGCGGACGAGAGGCGACCGGCATATCGAAGGCACAAAAGAACAATGTTGGACGCTCCGAGGGCCTTCGATGTTTCTCTGTTGGGGAGAGTCGTCGTAGGATCGACGATTGCCGACCGAGGGCATGGAGAATCCAGCGAAAGAGGAGAAGAAGGTGGAAGAGGAGGAGGAGGAGGCGGAGGAGGAGGAGGAGGAGGGGGAGGAAGCAGCAGGACCTCCGAGCAGCAGCAGCAGCAGCAGCAGCAGCTGAGGAACACAGGAGAGCAGGAGGTCCTGGAAGGTGTGGAGAGCGCCTTCAACTGGCCATCGTGGCCAGAGACCCCTCGCCACGTCGAGCTGATGTCGTGGACGGAGTCCACAGGTCTGCCCTAGTCAGCTACAACGCTGGGATTAGCGCGTGCGAGAAAGGCACGCAGTGGCAGCGGGCGCTTGCGCTGCTGAGCGAGATGCGGGAGGCGAAGCTGGAGCCCAACGTCATCTCTACTACATTGCAGGGCCCAGTGCGTGCCAGAAGGGCGCAGGCCCCAATGCACCGAAACCGCCCCGGGCTGGCCCCGGGCCGCCCCGGGCCGCCCAGGCAGGCTCCAGGACATGTCGGGAGGGCCCCCAGAAGCCCCCAAGACGGCCCCGGAGAGCCCCGGCACGCTTAAAGATGGGCCCAAGACGCCCGAGATTCGCCCCAGGCGGCCCAAGAGGCGTCCAAGACGCCCGAAGAGGCCTCCCAAGAGGCCTCCCAAGAGGGCCCCGAGCGACAGAAATCGTTGATTTATATTGTGTTTTTCGATGTTCTCCTCGCCTCTTCGGCTTCCCGACGCTCCAAGACGGCCCAAGAAGTCCCCCCGACCGCTCCAAGACGGCCGAAGAGGACCCCAAGAGAGCCCCAAGACGGGCCAGGAGGGCCCCCAGACGGTCCCAAGACGCCCCAGGACGGCCCCAGGACGGCCCAGGAGGCGCCCAAGACGGCCCAAGAGGCACCCAAGACGGCCCCAGGAGCGGCCCAAGACGGCCCAAGACAGCCCAAGAGGCGCCGAGGCGGGTCTCAGACGGCCCCAAGACGGCCCAAGAGGCACCCAAGACGGCCCGAGAGGGCTCTAAGAGCCCCCCCGGGAGGCCCCAAAGAAGGCCGAGGAGGCTCCGAAACGGCCCCCACGAAGCCTTCAGTGCCTTCAGAATTCCCTCCAGGAGCGGGGGAGCGGACGAGAGGCGACAGGCATATCGCAGGCAAAAACGCCCCAAGAGATCCCCAAACGGCCCCCACGAAGCCCTAAGTGGCCTCAGAATTGCTTCCAGGAGGGGGGGAGCGGACGAGAGGCGACAGGCATATCGAAGGCACAAAAGAACAATGTTGGACGCTCCGAGGGCCTTCGATGTTCCTCCGTTGGGGAGAGTCGTCGTAGGATCGACGATTGCCGACCGAGGGCAGCGAATCCAGTGGAGGCCCAAGAGGCCCCCAGGAGCCCAAAAGAGATCCCCAAGAGGTGCCACGGGGCTGAAAAACTGCTTCGAAGCGAGGGGGGCGGACGAGGGGACCGCCTCAGGAGGTTTTGGACGGTTTTGGGCTTCAAAATCGTCCGCTTTACGACGGTTTTGGAAGGATTTTGGCCTTCTCGCCTTTTCCGCTTTCCGACGCTCGAAGACGGCCCAAGAGGCCTCCAAGAGCGCCCCAGAACGGCCCAAGAGGTTTCCAAGAGCGCCCCAAGACAGCCCAAGAGGGCCCCAAGACGACCCAAGAGACGCTCAAGACGGCCCACGAGGGCCCGAAGACAGGCCCAAGAGGGGGCCAAGAGGGGGACCACGGACCGAAAATCCGAGCCTTCCGCCCCAAGAGGGCGCCAGGAGGCCCAAACAGGCCCCCAAGAGGCCCCAAGGGGCCGCCAAGAATCCCCCGAAGAGGCCCCAGGAGGCTCCCAAGGAGCCCAAACGAGGCCCCTACAGAGGCCCCAACAGCTTCCAAAATGGCCCCGAAGAGGCCTCGAGCCCGCCTCCGAGCTTCCTCGCCGCGAGGGTGCCAACACGGCCCCAGACCGGCCCAGGACGGCCCAAGGCGCGCTCAAGACGGCCCAAGACGATTCCAAGACGGTCCCAGGAGGGTGCGCCCAGGACGGCCCAAGGACGCGCCCGTTCGGGGCCTCAAGACGGGCCAAGATGGCAAGAGAGTCCCAGCTGGCAAAAATCGTTAATTTTCCATTGTTTACTGTTACACCCGTTGCGTTTCCCGCCGTTTCGGCGGCCGATGCACCAAGAGGCCCCAGAAAGTCCCAGGAGGGTTCGAGGAACCGCCCAGGAAGGCCCCAAGACGGGCCAAGACGGACCCAGCACAACCCAAGGCGCGCTGCGACGGCTCAAGACGGCTCCAAGACAGCCCCAAGAGGGTGCCAACACGGCCCCTGCTGGGCCCAGGACGGCCCAAGGAGGCGCACAGGAGGGGCCCAAGACGACTCCAAGGCGGCCTCCTCACGGTCCCAGACGGCTCCAAGACAGCCCCACGAGGACCCCGATGGGCCCAGGACGGCCTACGGACGCGCCCATGAGGGGCCCACGACGAACCAAGACGGCCCCATCAGGGCAAACGGCGCCCTCAAGACGGGCCTAGACGGCTCCAAGACGGCCCTTTGAGGGAGCCAACGCGGCCCCACACCCTTCGGGCGCACACTTGGGGGGGCTGGGAGCTTGCGACAAGTCTCCCACATTCATTGTCCTGCCCCATTCTGTTCGCCTGGAGGCCTCCTCCAACCCTGTGGGCGAACAAGAGGAATCCCAGCGGGACGCCAACCCTGGGGCCCGTGGGCCCCGCGCCGCTTGGGCAGAAGACGAACGCCGGGTCTGACAGGCCAGCTACCGCCCCCCTTTGCCCGATATGCTGTGCCATTCTGTTCCCCCAGGGGCCTTGGCAAACTCTTCGGGCCAAGCAGACCGGACCCCTGGGACAGCAGCCAATTGATATGACCCTGGGACCTCTCCGCATTCTTCGGACGAGCATCTGGGGGGCCCAGGAGATTCGGACATGTCTTCCCCATTCCTTGCCCTGTCCCGTTCTGTTCGCCCGAAGGCCTCCACAGACCCTCTGGGCGAACAGAATGGGACATGGCGAACAAACCCTCCCGTTGGCGGTGATGCGACTGGATCGCACCATCAAGGCGCGCCCGGAGGTGATGGCCGACCCAACAGCGGTTTCTCTTAAGAGTTCACTGGATTTCAAATTTTCTTGAAGCTCTCTTGGGCCCTCCCTGTAGATCCTTGCGAGCCTCCCCGGCGCTTTCGGTGGCTTTCCCCGATGGCCTCCCGAGCCCTTCCCCGAGCGCTCCTGAGACGCCTCAGATGGGCTTCGACTTCGACGCACATCCCCGAGAGACTTCGAAACTGTCCTCAATAGGAGGGGGGTGAACGAGCAGTGCGCTGGGCCAAGCTGCTGCAGCGCTGCAAGAGCTCGGACACGAAGGCGCGGTCTCGCTGCCGCCGCCCGAGCCGCCGCCGTGTTTGTAGATTTTCGGTACAATCTGCGCCGTTCCTCCGAGAACCATTCCAGAAAGATGTCGTGGACGGAGTCCACGGGTCAGCCCTAGTCAGCTACAGCGCTGGGATCAGCGCGTGCGAGAAAGGCGAGCAGTGGCAGCGGGCGCTTGCGCTGCTGATCGAGATGCGGGAGGCGAAGCTGGAGCCCAACCTCATCAGCTACAGCGCTGGGATCAGCGCGTGCGAGAAAGGCGAGCAGTGGCAGCGGGCGCTTGCGCTGCTGATCGAGATGCGGGAGGCGAAGCTGGAGCCCAACGTCATCAGCTACAGCGCTGGGATCAGCGCGTGCGAGAAAGGCGAGCAGTGGCAGCGGGCGCTTACGCTCCTGAGAAAGATGTGGGAGGCGAAGCTGGAGCCCAACGTCATTCATCTTCTCTACAATGCACGGACCCGTGCGTGCGGGAAGGGTCCCTGTCTTGATGGACTGAAAATGCCCCACAACGGCTCCGGGGACGCCCCAGAGGCGCTCACGCGGCCCCAGAAGCGCCCAGGACGGCCCCAGACACCCCCAAAACAGCCCAAGAGCGCTCCAAGAGAGCTCCAGACCGCCGAAAGCGGCCCCCACAAGGCCCAGGAGGCCTCCACGACGGCCCCAGAGACGCCCAAGAGGCGTCCCAGGATGGCCCCCACAGGCCCAAATCATTGTTTTTCCAAAGAAAAGCGTCAAATTTTAGCACGCACTGCTTGTCGGGTATATGGCGCAGAAGATGGAACAAGAGGTCCCCATGAACGCCCCAAGACGGCCCCAGAGGCCCCCCAGAGGCACGAAAACCGGCCCGAGAGAGCGTCAAGAGACCCAAGAGGCGCCCAACACGGCCCCCAGGCGGCCCCAAGAGGCTCCCAGGAGGCGCCCAGGACGGCCCCAGACCCCCCAAGACGGCCCAAGAGCGCTCCAAGAGAGCCCAAGGCCGCCGAAAACACACCCAAGACGGCCCAGGAGGCCTCCACGACGGCCCCAGAGACGCCCAAGAGGCGTCCAAGGATGGCCCCCAGAGGCGAAAATCATTGTTTTCCCGAAGAAAAACGTTCACTTCCAGCATGCGCTGCTTGACGGGAATATGGCGCAGAAGCTGGTTCCAGGCCCCCACGACCGCCGCAAGACGGCCCAAGAGGCCCCCAAGACGCACGAAAACATGCCCCAGAGGGCGCCAAGAGAGCCCAAGAGGCGCCCACAACGGCCCCAGGATGACACCAAGAGGCTCCCAGGACGGCCCAAGGTATCCCATTTTTTCGGCACCCCTCACGGAGATCCTGGCCCCCGAGCGTCAAAGATCGAGCCCTCCGCCCAAAGACGCGCCGAAGTGGCCATAAGAGGCTCAAAGCAGCGCCCAAGAGGCCCCCAACAAGGCCCAAGAGGCCTCCAAGGGCCTCCCACAGTCCTCCGAAGCATGCCCCCAGAGGCCAACATCTTTAATTTTTCAATGGTGTTTGAAGGAGTTTTGCCTTCTCGCCTTCTCGGCTAGCCGACGCTCCAAGACGGCCGCAGAGACCCACAGGACCGCCCCAGGACGGCCCAACAGGCCTCCAAGCGCGTCCCCAGACGGCCCAGTCCCAAGATGGCCCAAGAGGCCCAAGCCAGGCCCAAGAGGGGGCCAAAGAACAGAGAAAAACCATGGCATCCCGAGCCCTGGGCCCCCATACGCCCACACAAGGCCCCAAGAGCGCCCGAAGACGCCCCGAGGAGGGCCCCCAAACGGCCCGAGTGCCCCGGGATGGCTCCAGAGGCGCCCGAGACGGCTTCAGAGACACCCAAGACAACCCGAAGAGCGCCCAATAACGGCCCAAGATGGCCCCAAGACGGCCCCAAGATGGCCCCAGAGGCGCCCAAGACGGCCCGACAGGGCCCTAAGACGGCCCAAGAGGCACTCCAGATGGCCCAAGAGGGCCCCGAGAGACCCCCAGGAGGACGAAAAACGGCCCCCAAACGGCCCCCAAGAGGCCTTGAATGCTTCCTGTTGAGGAGCGTCGAACTGCCAGCGCCGTCTTGGGGACTTTTTGGACCCTCTGGGAGCCATCTCTAGGCTTTTTGGGGACGTTTGGGGGCGGTGCGCTCGAACGGTCGCTTCGTGTCCTCGCATTGAGGCCCGTCTTAGGGAGTTCGTGGGGCCCTCTTGGGCCGTCTTGGAAGCCTCTTGGCCCGTCCCGGAGACTTCTTGGGCCGTCTCGGCGCCTTCTTGCGGGCCTCTTAGGCCGCGCCCTCCAGTCCCACTCTCACCGCACTACCAGATAAAATTATCATTCGGCCCTGGCGAAGAGCAGATACAGTTATCACGGCGACCCGCCCCGCAAAAACTATTACGAACACAGAGCGCGGCGTGAGAAACAGCTACATCATGTCGTGCATGGGTGTGCGTCCATTGATACCGCCTCCACCATCGCGTTCCTGCCTTCAGGCCTGCCTGCCTGCATCCCTTGCCTACCTCGCCCTCCAGCGGCCACATCCTCCATCCATGCCGTCCCCTCCAACCTCCCCCCCCGTGAGGCCCCCGAGACGCTCCACTTCCACGTCCGCGCCGTGGCGGGCATATTCCGCGGCCGGAAGGCCGCGGGTCAGCCCTAGTCAGCTACAACGCTGGGATCAGCGCGTGCGAGAAAGGCACGCAGTGGCAGCGGGCGCTTGCGCTGCTGAGCGAGATGCGGGAGGCGAAGCTGGAGCCCAACGTCATCTCTCCAACATGGCGGGAGGAAGCGCGTGCCAAACCTGCAGGGACTCATGTGGATAAACTCGCCCCTTTACGGCCTCACCACGTGGTCGATTCGCCCACGCCGGCGCAAGAGGCGCTCCAGAGGGGTCGTAAGATGGTCCAAGAGGACCCCAAGACGGCCCCAGTTGGTGCCGAGACGAGCCTCGACCCTCCAAAGACCTCCGAAGGTGGCTGCACGACCGTCCAAGAGGTCCCAAAGACGTTCCGAGAGGGCCCCGAGAGGACGCCAAAGAGGCAAACATGCTCACATTCCTATGGGACGTACATTGTAGTGGCCTCCGGCCAGTGCCGCCGATCCGGGGCGCTCCGGATGATGATTGTCGTGATCTCACGGGTTTCCGATGTATCTTGTGGACCGCCGCCGTTCTGGTTGCTCAAGTCTTGAGGGATGTGGGAGAGGCTCACGAACCACGCCGTCACAGGGGTGGTCTCCTATCTCACCAGGTGCCCGCAGGTGCCATCGTGTCCCGCCTGTCCCGTGTGCTCGTTGGCGTGCGGGTCGCCAGCTCCTTGCCCTGGGTGCTCGCTGCAGTGCCCAGCGATCCCGCCGTGCGCGGAGGTCGCCCCAGCGGTGTGCCCCTCGGCGCCGCCCTGCCCGACGCCGGCGTGCCCGACGTGTGGGGCCTGCCCCCCGCCAGAGGCCGCGCCCGCGCCCGCGGGGCCGGATGTGGCGGCGCCTTCGGCGGCGGCCGTGCTGGTGAGCGACGTCGCCATCGACCTGCGCTCCCTGGCCGCGGGCCTGGTGGGCGGCGCAGTGGGCTTCCTGCTCGCCGCGGTGTGCGTCGGCTTCTGCTGTGTCGTGCTGCGGAGGGATGCTCGTCCGCGTGTTCGGCATCCTGCTGGCTGTATCAGTGATGACGGTGGTGGCAACGAGTCGCTCGGTGTACGCCTTCTACGCCGACGAAGTGGTGTGGCACCAGCATTTGAATCTGTGGGGGGTGGCATCGTCCGAGGCTGACCGCGTGATCTACACGGCGTACGGCGATCCATACAACGTCGTGCTGGCCAACAATGCTGTGGTGCAGGCGGCACGTTTTCGCGCCTTCAACCCGACGCCTCCAGGGATCGCGGGCACCCAGGCTCATGGGTCCAGAGCCGAGCCGACGGATGCGGAGCTGGGCCAGCGCACCTTGGATGCGGAGCAGATCGCCGCAGCGGAGGGCTGCACCAGGGCTGCGGCCATCGGCGACCTCGGCCTGCCCACCAACCTGCGGGTGTTGGTCGCGCCAGGGAAAGGAGGAGTGGCTACCCCCAGCGCGCCCGCGGACCTTGCGCCGGGTTCGCGATGCGGAGCTGCCGTGCTGCCCGCGGGTGCGCCTGGTATTGACCCCGCTGGGGGGCGGGGGGCGGCCGCTGGCGAGCCTGGATATCGGATTGGCGATGTGGTACTTGGGCGCGATGGCCCTGCAGCTCGAGTCCTGGGTCGGGACCTTCATGTGCTGCCAGACGGCCAGGGCTTACTCGTGAAGCTGGGGCCGCCGTCCGCTCCCGAGACCTTCTTGCGTACGGCTGTTGATGCGGACACCAGGATCTTGCCCAGTGTTCGAGATGGGCAGGATCGACGCAACGTCCCGTGGCACAAGACTGAGGAGATGACCCGCCAGGAGGATTTCGGCTCGGACGTGACGCTGCCGGGCCCGAGGACGGCGGCGTGGTGCGTGAGCTACCTGCAGCGGGAGGGCCTCTGCATAGAGGGCCATCACGAGCACTTGGCGCGGGTCTCTAGGCTCGCCGCCACGGATTGGGGAGTTCAAGTACACTACGAGCTGTGTCAGCAGATCAAAGTGGCAACCAGTCAGGACCTCCCAGACGGGGCTAACCTCGTCACCATTGAGATGAAGTTTTGTAGGCTTCGGACCCTCGAGCTGGCCCATTCGGACAAGGCCGAAGACGCCGAGAGCAAGGGCGTCGGTGGCAAGATGAGTCTGGAAGGGCAGGCCGCTGTCTCGGGGTTGTCACGTTCAACTTCGTCGGTGATGGCATCTCCAGGCTTGATCAAGGAGGTCCGCGGTGACTCTGAGAAGGAGGCGAAGCTACACAAGACTTTGCGCCTGGCCCGCGAGGAGCGGGAGGCCAGGCGCAAAAATGACTGAGCATCGGAGCCGCGCTGGCATCGGAGGGGGGGCCAGCACGAGTACTACACCCCTCCACGACGGCGACCCATGTGGGCCCTTCTTCCCTCAGGACGTCCACGTCATCGGCAGGCGTCGGCCCCGGGACATCTTGCCGCTGCCCTATCCCTCGTTCAAAGAGCCGCTGGATAAGGCTTCTATCAAGGAGCTCGCCCGAGGTACGAGGCAAAGGATTGGGCGAAGGCTTGGTGTCTGCAGCGATGTCTTTGCGTGCGTGGACGCTCTCAATTGGCTTCATGACCCGTCCCTCCGTTGTGGTCGTGACCGTTCTGCGCGATGCGTTGGGCCGTCACTCGCTCAGAGCCAGTGCCATGCCCACATCTCCGAGTCGGTGCGCAACTTTGGTCCGCCGCCGTCGACTCTTTGTCCCGCAGAAGCGCTGGTGCAGCTTCGCGTGGCCGGGGGTGCCTACAATGTCGAGCAGTCACCCCTCGGGAGTTACGACCCCGCGCTCCTCTCCTTGCCGGACGTCAGCTCCGCCCCTGTGCCGCTGGCCGACGTGCGGGGGGAGGGCGGGCAAGCCA